AGTTGCTGTGGATTTGTTTCTCCAAAGTACCCAGACTAATACAGAGGGACTGGAAAAGCGAAAACGAGAACGCGAGCAGAAAGAAGGGTGGTTTGAGTCATGGTTTAACAACTCCCCTTGGTTGACTACTTTGCTCTCCAAATTATTGGGGCCCCTAATTGTGCTCCTGCTCATTCTTACTTTCGGACCATGCATTTTAAATAGATTAATTACCTTTGTAAAAGAGCGAGTCAATACTGTACAACTAACGGAGCAGCGACAGCAATATCAGGGGCTGGGCCATGAATGCAGTCTGGAAATGGAGGAAAGGAACAGCCCTACTCACGAGCATGCTCGTAGGTGCAAGAAAAAGGGGGGAATGTAAGGCAGCAGTGACTCCATGACAGGCCGAGCCTTTTAAAATAGGCCTAAGTTTCTTTTCTTTCGTTTCCTCCAGCTTTACGTAAGATTCATGCGTGTTGCAGCGGGCATCAAGACTTCATTTCTCTCTGAATCACGTTGGATTAGATCTTGTTACCCACTTGGAGGAAAGGGTTTTTTTTAACATTTCTCCCATTCCATTTAGCTACTCTACAATCAAGAGAAAATTTCATTATGATTGTGGTAGCGCATACAGTGAGCAAGGTTATGAAAACGTCTTAAATAGAACCAAATGAGTTGCTGGGTCTGATCAGGACCAGGGTCTCAGGGGACGACAAAGTCAATTGTAACAAAGTTCAATGTATGTAACAAAGTTCACATAGACAATTTCTCCATCCTATCCCGTTTCCTCAAAAATAAGACAGTGCCTTATATTAACTTTTGCTCCCAAAATGCGCTAGGTCTTATTTTCAGGGGATGTCTTATTTTTCCATGAAGAAGAATATGGTACACATTTATTGTTTATTGTTTTATTAAAAGAGACCTTGCACTTCCTGTCTGCTCCGGCTGCGCTGCAGCCTACAGTGAGCTGCATGGCAGCACCCACCACTACTGTCCAGAGTCCAGAGTTACAGTAGCTCCGGGGGTGCCTTATTTTGGGGGAGGATGCCTTATATTTCAGCGAGAGGCAAAACTGTAAGTGGGTCTTATTTTCAGGGGATGTCTTACTTTCGGGGAAACAGGGTACACTACCCATCTACATTGCACACTAAGAAAACATCCCAGCCCAGTCCAGATCAAGTCCATACTAATTAGCTTATATGTCCAATACTAGTCCATAAATTCCTCTTTAGACTCACACAGACATGTAATAATGTCGAATGTAGGAAGATCACAGGTCAGTGGGTAGAAAGTCTTGTGGATCCAGTGGTGGTAGAGGCATCTCAGCGTTGGCAGGTATGGAAAACAGAAGGATTTCTCTCAAGCTGCCTCCCCCAAATGTATGCCAGACTTAGCTGCTTGAGAATGACGGTACACTTGGAGGTCATCAAGAGTAGATTGGGAGTCGTTCTCCCTGAGAGTTATCAGCTTAGACCAAGCAGACACCATTGTTTATCCCACAGCAAATAGGGCCCACTCCCTTCTGACATTGTTCCCTTGAAGGAGTGCCTGAAGGCAAGCCCCGAGACCACTCTAGGATGACTAAGCTTATCGAGTCCAGGGTCCACCCATCTTGCCACACATGCTCCCCTATTCCCTCCCTTTACTATTGCGTGTTCACCCCTAGGTCATCCCCCTCCTATTGCTTGTATTGCCTATGTTGCAACCCCTCCCTGTGACGTAGGTTGTTATCTGATATCACGGGGCTTGCATGGCTCCCAGGATAGTAATTGTCTGGTTCATTGTATGAGACACCAGAGAGATCAAACCCGCCCAAGGATGAATTGTACTGCCCCTTTCTGTGACGTGTGATTCTATAATCATGTCCCCCTAAAGTGATATAAGGCGTGGTTAGCAATAGAGAAGGGAGTGAGCTCCAGAGCCTGAGGCTCTCCCTGATTCCCGGGGCCCCCTCTGGCTCTGGGGCCAGGAGAGGCTCCCTGGTTCTCGGTTCCGAGGCTGCTCCTGCTCTCGTAGCTGGGTTCCCCCCACAAGGACCACCAAGCGGGGCGGAGGTGAGCAATGCTATGTAATATGTCTAACTACATTATTGTATCTCTCATGCTCTCGATGACTTTAATATAATACTTACATATCTCCACTGTACAATTGTGCTTACTGAACCCGTGGGTAGTAGTAGCGGTGGGGGCTGGCCCCTCACCCCCTTCTTAACCAATTTAATTTAATACTACAGGCAGGGGTCTCCACATGGCTACTTCAGCTCCAGGCCTCTAGTGTGGCTCCATGTGTCTTAGCAGCAAGCGTGTCTCGCAGGGAGTGAGTGTATGTCCCTCCTCCAGCGAACCATGTATCTCCTTAGCGCCTCCAAATGAGGTCATCAAGCTGAGACCCGATTGACAGGTTAAACTCCACCCCTTCACTCTTCAGTCTCAAATTGACAACAGAGTATGTACCTACACTCATCAACCATTTAAGATCCAAAGGGCAGCATTCATTCAAGGACAAAGCATAGAGGGTTAGGAAAGAAGGAGTGCTGGGAACAGGAAACCCAGGGGGGAAGTGGGGTACGTGATGCGGCACTGAAAGGACAGCAGTGGGCGAGTTGAAACAAACGTGTTGGATGTAAAACTGATGATCTGCTTTGTAAACCCTGACTTCACTTACAACAAAAGTTTTATAATAAAAAGTTTTCCTCTAGTTCTTTGGTGCCTCC